AGACCAGAATGGAGGAGAAGCTTGAGAAGCGAGGGAGGATACAGAGAGGAGCACTATGACCTGCCTATCCCGAAGTCATTTCATCTGAAAGCCCACGGCCCTCTTCCCAGATTTCAAGCCATCCCAAAGGGCTGGTGCCTTCCAGAGCAGCTGAGCCCCCACCCTGAGCCCCTGCAAGGGTGTGGAGCAGGGAGCCCAGAGCTCTAGGCTCCTGTCCCAGCCTCCACCGCCTCCACCTACCTGGCCTGAGCCCTCAGGCCCCTTACCCTCTCCAGTCCCGACAACTAGTCGGTAAACGTGGGCACTGCTTTAGTAGCATCTCTAAGGGCCCCTCCAGTCCCGGCACTCTGAGAGGTTCCAAAGATATAAGGAGACTTAAAAAGAGACAGAAGGATCGTCTTGGTGGAGAACAAAGAGGTGTGTTGCACAGGCCACAGAAATGCAGGAGCTTAAGCTGTTCCCCCGATGGAGGAGGGGAGCTGTGGGTGCTGGGGCCCAGGCCAAGGAAGGCTCATGGGGTACACACCCGCGGAGCCTCTCTCAGGACACTCGAGGGGTAGAAGTGACACTCAAGAGAGGGGTGGGGCAGAAAGAAAGAAGGAGCCAGAGGGAAGGAGCCAAGGCTGCGGATCTGGAAAGAGGGGGCGGGGGAGGGAGGTCCAGTACCTGCCCTTCACACGGCCGAAGCCAGGTCGGGGACCTTGGGGGCCCTCGTCTCCACGGCTGGCAGAGGGGCGGGCCAGGGGTCTGGCAGGAAGGAACGGGTGGGGGCGGGGAGACGCTGTTTACCTTGGCTTTGCCCATGTTCTCCCTGGGCCCCTCGAGCTGCAGCCAGAAATTGGGGCTGTCCGGGCGGCTCTGGAAAGCGTTCAGCTTGATTCTGAAGATGCGCTGCACTTGCAGGCGCTGCCGCTGCACGCGGGGCTTGGATTTGGTTTGCACCATGACCCATTCCTGCGCCGGAGGGTCGCCCCCGGCCAGGAGCATGGCTGCCCCCCGCCCCTA